TCCAGAGGTGAGGAGTGACATATCATTGTGGTTTTAATTTGCATTTCCTCAATAATTAATGATGTTGAGTATGTGATGACTGGCCATTTGTATATTTGGGAAAGTGTATAATCTGCTCATTAAAAAAATAGTTTTTGTCTTATTCTTGATTTCTAAGTGTTCTTTATATATGTTTGATATGAGTCCCTTACCCAATATGTTTTGAAAATATTTTCTTTCAGTTCATAGCTTGTCCTTTCATTTTGTTAAAAGTGTCTTTTGAAAAACAAGTGCTTTTAATTTTGATGAAGTCCAGTTTTTCAAATTTTTCTTTTGTGATTTGTGTTTTTTTATGCTCTATCTAAAAAATCTTTGCCTGACTCAAGTTCTTTGGGTTCAGCCATAAGAAGCCCCCACAGGAAAACAAAGGAAAGGAGGAAAGGGAGGTCAGAATTATTTTTCTTTCTATAAAAATTATTTTTCTCCTTCCCTGCAAGATTAGGAAAAACTGGTTGAGTCTCTCAGTGAGAAGTCACAGTTCCTGTCTGTCAGTCCTCTGCATATGGCTCTATTTCCAGGTTCTCATCTTTTCAGTGCCTTGCTGTTACTTGTCTTGGTGTACTCAGTGATCTTTTGTAATTTCCCTATATCCTGCCCACATCAGTTTAAACAATACTTTTATTAAACTCTCTACAAATCAACCAAATTGAGTGTACCATCTTGCGATATTCACCAGGAAGTCTTCTTAGGTTCCACAAAACATTCAGACTCACAAAACCTTCACCAGCCTCCTTCAGCACCATTCACTCAGAGATATATAAGATAGAAACCAAAGCCTGACACAAAATGGTATCAGCAGTTCCTGTTGCATTTGAGTAGGTCTTGGAGCAGTCCCTGAAATGCTCTACATAGCTTCCCAGGCTCCCCAAATGACATTTCAGATATGAAGGAATGAGATTTATAGCTGGCAGGTGTAAGAATCACCCTGGCTTAGAAGCCCCATGCCCCCAGTAGCCAACTTTTTGTAACAATTTCACAGGCCTAGATTCCTGGGTCCCTGTAGAGACATGCCCAGATACAAAAGTCATCACATTCACAGAAGCCTAAGGCTATGATGTCCCAATCAGCTCATTTATGGTGTCTCCTAGCTCAGATACAATTTACCCAGCAGGGGTTATTTCTACCATAAACAATATTGCCTTAAATTTAGTTGACATGTTACCTTCATCAAGTTATTAGGGGAAGAGAGTGAGAAAGATAAGTGAAAGTCACATTTTCATGCAGAAACTTCTGTCCCCCACTGGATCACAGGCTACATATTCTCTGTATCTCCTTTTGTGTAAACTACCATAGAAAAATGGTAGTATGCTAAAATCCCTATGTTTTTATGCACTTGTGCTTGTATTTCTATCACATTTTGCTTTTATATTTTACTGGTATTTTTCAACTCATAAAGTTTAATGACTGTTGTATATTAATTATACCTGTTATCGATCCCAATTGATCTTTGTCCTCTTTAATGCTTTTGTGTTGATTAAACTTGCTTTGTCTGATTTCAACACTACCGCCTTTAAAAAATTAATAACCTATTTTTAGAGCAGTTTTAGGTTTACAGAAAGTTGATCAGAAAATACAGTTCCCACATACCCCTCCCTCACCACACAGTTGCCCTTATTATTGCCATCTTAGTGGAGTTCGATTTGTTACAATTAATGAATCAATATTGATACAGTATTATTAACTAAAATCTATAGTTTACATTAGGGTTCACTCTTTGTGTTGTACATTCTATGGATTTTAACAAACATAATGACATGTGTCCATCATTATAGTAACATACAGAAGAGTTTCACTGCCCTAAAAACCCTCTGTGTTCCCCCATGCGTCCTCCTTTCCTCCCCTCAGCCAGGTGCAACCACTGATCTTACTGTCTCCAGCTTTGCCTTTTCCAGAATGTCACATAGTATGTAGCCTTTTCAGATTGGCTTCTTCCACTTAGCAACATGCTTTTAAATTTCCTCCATGTCTTTCTGTGGCTTGATCGGTCATTACCTTTTACTGCTCCACACTAGCTTTTGTTTCTGTTTTGTTGATGTCTCATTCTACATACCTGCTATTTTTGGCTTTTATAAATCGTTTTACTTTAAGTGTAAACATTATAAAAAGTGCAGAGTGGCTACCTGCTACCAGGGGAAAGGCAGGAGATCTGAGAGCTCTCTCCTATGCTGCTGAAGGCTGAGGGCAGAGAGGAGAGTTGAGGGCAAATCCTGAGGCAATCAGACCCCAGTCGCTGCTAAAGAGAAGGATTTGCTCCTGTTTTTAAGTAATTTGAGACTGTGGTAAATAAAATCTAATTAAAATAACAGCAAAGCCCAAACCCAGAACTGTAAGACATAAATGTTTGTTGTTTAAGCCATTTAGTCTATGGTATTCTGGCAGGAACACCCTGAACTGACTAGGACAATATATGATTCCATGTAGTTCTAAAACAAGCAAAATTAATCTATTATGATAAAATCAGAACAGAGGCTGCTAGAATAGAGGGGAAATTGATTGGGAGGGATATGAACTCATTCCAGAGCTCTCTGGAATGATGGAAATTTTCTATACTTGATAGAGGTGTGGGTTACTCAAGTATATGTATTTTTCAAGACTAATCTCCTCAAACACTTAAATCTGTGCATTTCAATGTATGTACCTCAATTTTAGAAAGATAGTTCCCACTGCTGCCAAGGACTGGTTTATAAGTATCTGCTGGTTTGTAGGAGACAGAGGAGTAACTAGGCCAGGAGTGACTAAGCCAGTAACTAAGTTAATTCATCCTGACTGGTGACTAGATCTTTGAAAACCATTATATTATCATGGTGTAGAAACTCCAAAAACCAGTTTAAGACAGTGTTCTGGACTGAAACCCAGGGGCTGCTTGGAGAAGAGTAACCATAGAAGGAGAAAAGCAGTAAAGGAAAACAAAAGACTTCAAAATGAGCCTGCAAACTAAGGTTTCAAATCACAGAAGAAATCACATGCTAAGAGAGGCAGTCAACAAAATCAATACTCAGAGTATGAATTCATCTCAAATACAATTAATCCTTTAGAGCAAATTTAACTCAGACCTTAAAATAGGTATTCTAAGGATTCTCAGCAAGAACTCTGAAGGAACCATATCTATTAAAAAGTAAACAACAAAATGCTTTAAAATGATATTTATAAAAGCAGAATGGGGACACTTGGATGGCTCAGTCAGTTAAGCAGCTGACTTCAGCTCAGGTCATGATCTCAGGGTCCTGGGATTGAGCTCCACCACAGGCTCTGCACTCAGTGGGGAGCCTTCCTCTCCTTCTCCCTCTCCCTCTGCTCCTCCCCCCACTTATGATCTCTCTCTCTCTCTCTCTAATACATAAATAAAATCTTTTAAAAAAGCAAAATGGATAAATGTGAAAAAAAGCAATTGTAAAAGTTGGAAAAGATTCATAAAGTTATTGAAATTTTTAAAAAACACAGGTCAGTTGACCATGTAGTCTAAACCAGACACAAAGAATGAATTTGTGAATTTGAAGGTGGTACTGAGAAACTCTCGCCCAGGATTCAGCATACGGAGACACAGACCATGATTTTTTAAAAACATGAAAAGACAGTTACAAGACATGGAGGGTAGATCAAGGAACTCCAAAGGGAGCCCCTAAAAAGCACTAGCAGATAATAGCTGGAGAAATAATAAAATGGTTTTCCCAAGTTGAAGAAATATCTAAAATCCTCAGATCAAAATTACATTCCATGTACCAAACTAGATAACAAAAAATAATTTCACAGCTAGACAAGAGTAATGGATCTGAAGAGTATTAAAGATAAAGATAATCCCTAATCCCTCAAAAGTCATCTATTAGAAAGAATAGTTTTGTGTGTGAAGGGATTTTTTGCGGGGATTATTTTGCAGGGAAACAAGACCTGACAGCAGATTCCTACCTTAACCACAGTAGATGCCAAAGGACAGTGGAAGAACTGTCACACTAGAATGTGACATTTGGCTAAACTGGTCTTTGAAAGTGAGGGCAGGATGAAGTTCTCATCAGACAGGGCACAATAGAATCTACCACCAATAGACCTTCACTAAAGCAACTGTTCAAAGATTGCTTCAGCAAGAAGTGTAAACCCGGAGTGGAGACATAGGATACAACTCAATAGGGAGGACAAAAATTGATAAAATTTGTCAGTAAACGTCTACCCTTGACTGTATTTTATTTTCGTTTTTATTTTTTTAAAGATTTTATTTATTTAATTGACAGAGAGAGAGAGACAGCGAGAGAGGGAACACAAGCAGGGGGAGGGGGAGAGGGAGAAGCAGGCTTCCCGCCGAGCAGGGAGCCCGATGCGGAGACTCAATCCCAGGACCCTGGGATCATGACCTGAGCTGAAGGCAGACGTTTAATGACTGAGCCACCCAGATGCCCCCATTGACTGTATTTTAAAGTTACTTTTTGTGTTTTAAAAAAACAAAGTGAAAGTCCTTGGGTTAGTTTTTCCTCTCTCCCTTTCAGTGTAGTTACGTCACTCATTACAAACACCATTCAGTTCATGTGTTTTTACTTGTATTCATTTTATTTACTTGTTTGTTTTGAGGAAGTGAAAAAATGACGTATATTTTCTGTAGTATTTTTGAATTCTAAAGTATTCAAAGATGTCTACTCAAAAAAGCATCCCCCCTCGCATCTCTTCTTCCCTGTTCTTACTCCTGCATCTTTTCCAATCAGCTTTCTACCCACCCACTGTAGGTAACCACGGTCTAATGGATTTCTGGTCTATTCTTCCTACGTATCTTTCTCTAAAAGTGATCAGATATACATGTATATTCTTTTTCTTCTTCCTTCTTATATAAGAGGTAGTTTCAGTGAAGTCAACTTAATCCATTAAATATGTTTTAATAGCTTTGAATCTCAGAGAGAGGAGCTTGAAATCTCAATCCTTTCCTTTTCAGAAGTCCACTGTGGGAAGGTTGTTTTATTTTTCAAATTTGCTTGCCCTGACCTCAGGAACATTCTAATGCATTGACCAGTGGGAATTTGGGGATAATACCTGGGCTTCAACCACTTACTAGGTAAGATGTAGCCTCATGCCAGACAATATAAGTAAGATGCTACCTCCAGAATGACATGTGATGAGCTTTGATTTAGATAATGGCTCTTATGGTGACCTTTCCTAAATAAACATGATTCAAAGCAACCTGATTTTTTATTGCTCAGAGAACTCTCTAGGACATAACATTCCTATTCTCTTACAGGTGGGCCCATCACTCCATATTACCAAGGAAAAATTTATTTAAATGGAGATTCTATAATCCTCTATACAAGCTCTCCTTCTCAGCCTTGTAAGAGACGCAAAGTGGAGAAACTCACCTTTTATGTCTTCATCTAAGTTGAAAATGTTGAAAAAGACAGAGACAAGGGAAGACCTCTTTAGTACTCCACTGGAGACCTCCCTCAGCATGGGTTATGAGTTAATGAGTTAATGAGTTAATACTCTAGGGCTATTTTTCTTCAAAAAACCAGACCCATTTCTGCAACATCATTATACTTTTAGTATTGGCCTCATCTTCCCTGAGGAGTTAAATATTTTCTAGACAGTAGAAATTAAGAATGACTCTCATCATACTTTATCTTTTAAGGGTGAAAATAGAAGCTAAGTCAATTGATCACAGAAATGAGAGGGAACATGCCATTACATTTTAACCAGTGTGTAAAGAAGGCTCTTATGTAACCCGCCATCCGGGTCCTTCTCTTTGTTTTTCAGCAAATTGCTGTTGGGATGAAGCTTTGTAGCTTTGGAGTCCTGGTAGCCATCTTCCTCTTGTGTGAGCAGCATGTCTTCGCTTTTCAGAGGTAACCCAATAGAATCTTAAATGGTGGGGGTCTGTTTTCCTCACTTGTTTGCCCCACATGGAATCTAGTCAGTGCACTAACCTGGGGGGCAAAATGTTAAAAGTTTGAAGGTCAGCTCTTTCAGAAACTTTCCATGTTGCCCTGACAAACAGTACATTTTAGTGTAATAAGGCTCTCACTAGATCTAGGGTCTTTTTTTGTCTTTTCTGGCTCTACTTTTATTACTGAGAGAAAGCTGGATGATATGTATATTCAGTGGCTAGGGAGACTAAGGAAATAGAAGCTTTCATAAAAGTAATTATTTACACTCTAACACATCACATGACTTATTTTTTTTTGTCTTCACACACAAAATATATTAACTAGATAATTTGTATTAACTATGAATAATGTAACTATGGGTAACTATGAATATTTTCCTCTTGTACATGGAACACAGGATGGAGAGGAAGGTAAAGGTATGAAACAGGAGGTTTAGGTTGGGCATGGGTATTCACAAGGGATATGAGAGGAAGAATAGATGTGTTATAAAGAACACATATATGAACGTATCTAATTCTTATTTTGCTTAGTTGAGTGATTCCCTGGAGATTTTCTACTATAAACCACTCAGAAGAGTACAAATGAACTTGTGTTCTAACACATATAATATATGGCAAATAGTCCCAGGCTACGTGTGTAAATTGTAATGTATTAACTAGTGAACTCGTAGATTTTTAAAATTGATATTATTTCCTTTGGAATTATCTTTTTTTTTTCCTGTGTTTTGCTTCTGTGACTCTTCTCTTCTCCTATTATCTCCAAGACAAATGCCTCTCCCCATTCAGTAAATAGTAAAGAGAGAAAAAACATACCAGGGACAGGAAAATTCTGTCAAAAATACTTACCTTGGGGCGCCTGGGTGGCTTAGTCAGTTAAGAGTCTGCCTTCGGCTCAGGTCATGATCCCGGGGTCCTGGGAACCGAGCCCCGCGTGGAGGTTCCTCCTCAGCGGGGAGCCTGCTTCTTCATCTCCCTCTGCTGCTCCCTCCCCTCCCCCCTTTGTGCTCTCTCTCACTATCTCTCTCTCTCAAATAAATAAATAAAATCTGTAAAAAAAAATACTCTTCTGAGTCAGAAAGAACCATGGGACAGCATTTAAGAAAACAGAGCTTGACTTGAGAGCCTGATGCTGTGTTTATACATCATCATTGATTCTTTTTTGTTCAATATGATTGTCAAGTGTCATGCAACAAAGTCCATCACCAAATAATGATTGTTATTGATTCGACATGGGAGTCAAATTGCTGGAATAATTGGTGACTTATATCTCTATGTGTTATCAATAAATAAGATGACTATAATTTCTAAGGTCCTGCCAGTTCTAATATCCCATAACTTGGTGATTGGCCTTAATTAAAGATAGGGGAGAGGGAAAGAGGAAAGCTGGTATCAGCATATCCAGCTGGGTACTGTAGACAGTGGCAGTATCATCCACAGGGAGGGGAAAATGAAGGGACACGTGGTTATATAGCACCTGTGTTGTGTCATGCACTGGGCCCGGCACTTAGAAATGTTATCTCATTAAATGCCTCATTAAATCCTACACCCTAGGAATCTTGATGGTGACACCTTACAGAGAAGGAAACTGAGCCCTAGGAAGGATAAATCATTTGCCCCAAATCAAACAATAAGTGTAGAGTTTGGATTTGAACCCATGTTCGCCTCATTTCAATTCATTTCACTGAATAGCATTGCCTCTAAAAATCTAGAAATTAGGAAGAAAGCTACTTTGATGGAGGTCAGATTTAGAGACAGTGAGCCTGCAGAGAAGACAGGTGGTCCAGAATGCAGCCTGGGAGAGGGATGGGCTGGAAGTTCAGTGTCAGGGTCCTCACCTGCGGTGGGTCTTTGGTGGTGTGGTGCCTGCCCCTTGGCAGCCGGCGGCCACAGAGCATGGCGGCTCACGCACATGCCACCGCCTGGATCATATCATGAACTGAACCCCTAGATAAGACAATCATTAGTAAGGTACTTCCAAAGCTTTACCATGTTGCTTCAAAATGAGAAAGCATATAACAGTTTAGTGGAACTAAATATTACACAAATAAAGGACTTATGCAAAAAAAATAGCAAAGAAATGATTGAGAATATTCCTGAAGGAATATTTTTATTTTAATATTTTATATTAATATTTTAAATGGCTTTTCTTACTATTTCTTGCTTCAGCATATACTTTGGAGTCTGATCGATATCTATGCTTGAAGAGAGGAATAAGAATATGACTATATTTTAACCAACCACATGGTATTGAAAATATTGTCCGTGTGTATTGAGGAAGGGCGAGCTGCAGCTTTGTGGGCAGATACATATCTGATTCCTCTCTCTCATCCCTCCACTAGAAAGAACATTCCAAACTCTTCTTTCTGTGAGTAAAAAAAAAAAAAATATATATATATATATATGTATGTGTATATATATATATATATATTTTACCAACTGTTTCTGGGCTCTGCTTTTCCAGGAAGAGCCTATTACTGAAGCTAAAACAGAAATCTAATTTCATTCAGGGCAAGAGACTTTGATGGATTATTTCTGGGGGCAAGAATACAACCCCTTCTAAAAAGAGCTTACAGTCTGGCTTTTCCCTAAAGCTGTTCTCTGTTATTGTTTTCTTGTCGTGATCATTTTCCTAATAACACTTTGTATTCAGGCAATTTCTTACTGGCTGATTTGTAGGTGCCTTTTGATACATCTCATCAGCGAAATGCCCCGGAACGAGAACGAGAAAAGTTTTAAAGGCATTAATACCATATGCCAAAGAGAAAAGCAGCCAAACAAACAAACAAAAACCAAAACATGTCTCCGAGGTCACGTGCTCTTAAAGGCCAAACACCATAAAGGGCAAAAATAAAATCCTAGCAAGAACCCTGTAAACAGAGACATTAATTGTATTGTGCTCTGATGACCTAGGAGCAGCCTGTCAGTGGAGGCGATTTATTTGAAACAGGGAAGGGGCAGGGGTGGGGGTGGGGAAGTACTAAGAAAAGAAGGAAAAAGAATTGGGAGAGTGGAGAATGGTTGAGGAGAGAGGGCTTCTGAATTATTAATAGACCACAGGACTTGTTCCTTCTGTCAACTTCATACACGATCTGCCACCTAGAGACCAGTTTATTCTCTTTCACTTAGCTCCCCCTGATATATTATTTTCATCTTAAAGAACAGGGCACTGGTGGCCTTGAAACACTGTAATGCATAAAACAAAATTGCAGCCTTGAGCACTGTTCCATTGTTCAGAGGCATCTCACCAGTTTTTCAAATTCAAAAATAATCTTGCAGAGCTATGGCAAATGTGAACCTTCTTCTGTAAACCATAGCAGGGGACAGAGCTTGATGAAAATAATCATATTCTTAGAGGGGAAGCAACAGAGGAAATGTTGTCAAGTATTAAAATCTTGGGATCTGGAGATAGCCCCAGAGCTGCGACTTATAAGTTATGCAGCCTTGGACAATTTACTTGTCCTCTTTGAAATTCAGTTTATTTTTTGTGTAAAATGACCTGTTATTTCACTGTGCTTACACTTTTCACTTGATATTTGGTGCAAGACTATTTTTTTTTTTTACTCTTCAATTGGCTATCAGTCAAATCCTCTAACTGTATCACTTCAGAGATGCAATCAAAACATTTCTTTATTTTCTCATCTCCCTTTGCCCCATTGTGTTCCATATGGTGGAGTAATCTTTCTCTGCCCCTACACGGAAAGTGTGCAAATTCTGACTTTTTAGTCCACTCTTAAGTAACTGATAATTTTGGGGCCGTGTTAACATGCAAACAATCTCGATTTAGAAACTAGAATATTGGGTCCATTCAAGGTATTATTCAAATGTCAGTTTTTATAGGAAAACAACTCCTCACCCCCTCTCCATACACACCCCTGACTCTTTTTCTCATTTGCCCTTTTCTTGGGTTTTAACTTCTTAGGAATTTTTCAGATTTCTTTGCTGAGGAATTCTCCAGATCAGGGACAGATGCATCTCTCACTAGGTGGCCGTTTGTGACTCCATGTTTCACCCCTAGGAATCTTGCCTTCATCCCCATGTTCCTGCCCCTGTAGGTGGCGTTATCTGACAGCATCTGAGTTATAACTACTTGCCCATGAAGTATTTCTTCTTTTGATTTTAATCACTGTCCAACCAACTGGAGACCGGCCGCATGCATGTTTAGCTTCCTTGGGAGCAAGCCAGGCCCCAGTCCCTGTGTCTCTACACTTGAGGAAACATGTTCAGACTTTCCCATTACCCCTTGAAAGTCCCCACTACTAGTTGGAGATGAGGGAAGTAACACCTCCAAATTTCATCCTCTTTGGGAGAAAGGGTACTAGCAAGACGGCAACAACTTGCTCCAAAGAAATATTGTCACAAATCTTCTCCCTTTCTTCACTCAGACCACCTTTCAGAGCCTCTTTCTGATGAAGTAAGGGAACATTGAGTCAGGAAACTGATTTTCAGAAACTGTGTTAAGTTCTGCATAAGGTGACCTGACTGACCCTCATCCCATTTCCTGATTCTATTGTGTTGGCACTTGGGCCAAACAGGTGAGACAGGAAGAGGCTGGCTCACCACAGTTGGAACCTGGACACATTAATATACTTTATGGTGCAGTTTTACCCTCATCATTTTAGTCCCCTCCATTTCCCAATTTATTTTTCTATATTTCCTTAAATTTTTTTCTCCTTAAGAAAGAGGCCCATTGGGATAACACGTTTTTTACCTTTACTTTTTCTTTTTTTCTCTTTTCTGTTGACTAACTTTGGTCAAATACATTAGAAAAATGCCCTTATCTTCTAGTCAACACAACACTTCCCTTACGTGGGATTGAAATGTAGCCTGTTTGAATAATGGAGAGCTCATTGCTGGGGAAAAGGCATCCCATTTCATTGTTAGCTTAAGCTGTTAGAGAGCTCACTCTCAAATTATGATTTACTTATATGAGCCCCCACTTCTTTATACTTCACATCAAAA